AAATTTTATTTATTTATGTGTGTATGTGTGTGTGTGTGTGTGTGTGTGTGTGGCCAGCTCAGCCCACCAGGGGGCGGGACTGGCTGGCATGTGGTGCTGGGGGATTGAACCGCGGTCCCTGTGCTTTGTGACGCTTGTTCTAAGTAGGTGCTTTAGACCACTGAGCCATCTCACCAGCCCCAATTATCCATCTCTTTATCAAACTTTTCCTGTAGTTTTACTCTTGTGATTATTGCCACAATTAAGATGGATATAGTTTTCTCTTCAGGAAATTATTTTCAAAACTGTGTGTTGTTTCTGATTAAAAGAAAAAAAAAAAAAAAAAAAAAACAAACCATCTGGCCAGGCATGGTGGCATATGCGTGTAATTCTAGCACTCTGGAGACTGAGGCAGGAGGATGGCTGCAAGTCAAAGTTAGCCTCAACTGTAGTGAGTTCAAGGTCAGCCTGAACTGCAGAGTGAAACCCTGTCTACAAAACAAACAAGAAGAATGACTGTAACAGAGTTGTGATGAAGATTAAAGAAGGAAATATGCAGCCAAACATGGTGGCACATGCCTGTAATCCCAGCGCCCCGAGAGGCTAAGGCAAGAGAACAGCAAGTTTAAGCCAGCCTAGGAAATTTAGTGTGTTAGCAAGACTCTGTCACAAATTAAAAAATGCAAAAAGGGCTGGGATGTATCTCAGTGCAAAGGCCCTGGGTTCAATCCCTAGTACTGCCATAAAGGAAGAAAAGAATATGTAAAACCTGGCGCATTAAAATTGTAAGTAGTGGCTTCTACGTTGCCAGGTTGTTTTGTTGTTGTTGTTTTGTTTGTTTGGTTGTTTGGTTGTTTTTGTCTCTTTGGAGATGGGGTCTTGCATTGCAGTTCAAGCTGGCCTTCAACTCACTGTGTAGCCCCTGCTGGCCTCAAACTCATGATGATCCTCTTGCCTCAGCCTCCCGAGTGCTGGGCTTGCAGGCTTGTGCCCCCATGCTTGGCACCAAGTTATTCTTAAATGCAGTGTTATGCTCTGAGTAATGATGTTGATAATAGTGGTAGTGATGATGGAAACCTACACAGTTGTTGAGTACCTGCTTTGTGAGAGGCCCTTTACCTAGTTGTCTCCTTTAATCCTCACTGTAACAGAGGTTCAGTAAGTTGCTCATCTCTCCAAGCTGTAGGTGACAGGAGTAGGTTTGAATCTTAAAATTGGTGATTTTTTTCCCCATATATATTGCAGTCCTGCCAATATTTAAATAGATATCATGATTCTGTTTTTTAGGTTTGATTCAGATGTAGGTCCATGTTTTGAATGTGGAATCTTTTTAGTCCTTCAAATATTTAATATATATTTATTGTGTGCTAATTATGTACTGGACACTATTCAAAGTACTGGTGTTGGATCCTTTTGGTAATCAAATTACCAGGAACTGGGCTAAACAAGGTTGGATAGGTCCTCTAGTCTTCACTTGGAAGATGCTTTACTCAGATTAGCCCTCTAAGTGAATGTACATTGTTGCTTACTTTTTTTTTTTTTTAATCCCTAGTGGCTCCAGATGAGCCAGGCCCTAAGCTGTGGTGGGTCAGAAGAGATTCCTGGAGTACACATAGAGCAAAAGAGGAAGTACCACATCACAAATAAGGTGAGACTTATTAAAGCTTTCTGTTTAGAAAGTGCTTTCTGATAGATGTTTTTATTTGAATTTGAACAAAAGTGTTAGCTAGGTGAGGCACAGATTTTAAGCGGATGTAGAAGGTGAGAGAGTCTGAACGTGACTTGCCCTGGGGCCCAAAAGATGATAAGTGAAAGGCCAGCTGAGTATGTGAGCCCAAGTCTTCAGAGCTTATGTCATGTGTTTCATTTAGTGTACTTGTTTTTGAAAATCACTTTAGAGGAAAAAGTCTATGAATTTTGTACAAGTTAAAAATGAAGATGGGTTGTGCTCCAAATTTTTTGATCAAGAAGATTATGGAGCCACAGAGAAATGCGTTCGATGATCTAAAGTGAGCCTGGGGAGAGTCAC